CTTCTGTATGAATCAGATTCTCTCTCTTTTTTATTAAAATACAAGGCTCCCTCCATAAAGCTCTGATTTTCCCATTTTTGATAGAACCTGGTTGAGCCTATCTGGATTTCTGGCCTATAGAACTGTGAGATAATAATGGGTGTTGTTTTAAGCCACTAAGTTTGCTGTAACTTGTTACTCGGCGATAGAAAACTAATATACTTACCTCATCTACTAATATTCTCCTTCCGTCATTCACTCAGTGGAGCCACACTGACCTCCTAGCTCTTCCTTAATCACATCAGGCACACTCCCACACTGGGGCCTCTGCACTGACTGTTGCCTGTGGCTGGAATACTCTTCCTCCACATATCCACATGGTGAGTCTGCTCACCTCCTTCAGTCTTCCCTCAAATGTCACCTTCTCAATGAAGCCTACTCAGGCCCTCCCCTGCCACAACCTATCCCACTTACACTGTTCTGCTTTTTTTTTTTCCCAGAGCATATATTGCTTTCTAACATAACTATATGATGAGCTTCTTTATTGCATCTATTCCTTACTGGGTATATGCCCCCATAAGGGCAGGTGTCTTTGTTTTGTTTACATACATTCCAAGCACCTGGAACAGTTTCACATAGTTTTATAGCACTTAATAGTTACTCACAAAATATTTGTGGAATAAAATGAATTAACTCTGTGTTAAGTCACCTCTGAGTTAATGTAATGCTGTGGAACATACAGTCCAAGTTGTGACATGCATTTTATGCGGTTTCTTATAATAAGGGTAAATATAATGTATTTCTTTCTTCATGGATATGTGATAGCAAATAGCAGACTGTCTGTCAACCAAAAAAAAAAAAAAAACCCAAATCCGTTGCCATCAAGTCGATTCCAACTCATAGTGACTAATATGGAAATACATTGGGTAGCTTTTTCCCATTCTTACATCACTAAGAACAGGAAAATCCAATATATAAAAACGGATCAAAAAGGAACCTCAGTGATTGAAACTGAGATGTTTGGGAGAAGAGGGTGAGTGATACAAAGGCACCTATGTCAACCCTAAGGCTTGCAGAGTGCCTTTCTGAAAACTACTGATAGCAACAATTGAACTAGATGCCTTCTAAATATCCCTTAGAATTCTACAGTTCCATGATTTTCTGACCTGTGCACACACTCAGTGAGCTGTTGGTTCAAGATTCCGCCTCTCACCTTTTATTGATGACCCTGTCTCTCAGTCCCCAAATTCCTAGCGTTTGTCTCCAACTACTTCAGAGCATCTCCACATGGAAACGCCACCATCACCTGGAACTCAGCATTTCAAAAGTCTCACTCATCCTCTTTACGCTGGATTCCATGCCCCCCTCCTACTTGCCAAGTACTTAGCTGCTGTCTCTCCCCTACTCCTCGGACGCCTCAGTCAAGCTCTGGACCCACTCCTCATCCTCTCGTATTTCCTCTCTCGTGTTTGCCTTTCTTTTCATTCTCACCACCATCCCCCTGGTTCAGTCCATCAGTGCCTCACACCTGGATCACTGGGACAACACCCTAACTGGGGTTTCTGCCTCCTGTTACAGCCACGCAGCCCTCCCCCAGTCAACCATACAATGACCATTTGTTAATCTTCCTAAAATAGATTCCAATAGTCTTGGCACCTGCAAATTATTAATCTTCCTAAAGTGGATTCAGATATTCTTGGTACCTCCAAAGTCCTCCCATAAGTCCCCATTGCCTACAGAGTAAATTTTAGTAAACAGTCAAACAAACAACAAACCCATAGGGTGGTATGTATATGATCTTTCTCGATCTGGCCCATTCTCTTGTCTCCCAAAAATCTCCCCCTTCTTTGGGGTATACCCACCCTACTGAGTGCTTGTTTTGGTGCTCAATGCAAGAACAAATGTTTTAAACAAAGGAAATGTGGAGGTTGGGCTATTTTAAGAACATGTGTTGGAATTAGGGAATGATTTTACAAGGTATTTTTATAGTTGTTACAGTGAGTAACTAAGACACCTGCCTTGATTTTAGCTGCTTTCTTGATGTGTGAATACAACTTACTTTGGGAATCCACTCTCATAGGTAATGAATTGCCAGTATTATATATCCTAATGAAAGTAAAAGCAGCCTAACTCTTGAGTGAGTCACCCTGTGAGCTGTGTTCTCTATTTGTTTCTGCAGGGAGCCCCGCAAGGTGGTCCTGCACAAAGGTTCCACTGGCCTGGGCTTCAACATTGTGGGCGGGGAAGATGGAGAAGGTATTTTTGTGTCCTTCATTTTGGCCGGTGGACCAGCAGACCTAAGTGGGGAGCTCCAGAGAGGAGACCAGATCCTATCGGTGAGTATTACTCTTTACCCTTCACTCCTGATACCATGGTGAAAAAGTCACTATTAATTATGGTTCCCAAAACACCTTAATTACAGAGGAAGAATAGATGAGAACTTTATGGCTTTAGGTGTGTGTCACAGTTTAAACGGTATTCAGGTGCTTGATACTTGTTACATTTACTTTCCTCAGATAAAGATAAAAGGGTTGATATTCTCTTTTAGATTTTCAGAGACATATATCCCACTATTGTAACATTGAAAATGTTGCTTTTTTAAGCTGGTATATTATTTTAAAAATGCACTGCTTATTTTCTAAATACACGACCGTGCTCTACAAACTGCACCTTTATGACATGTATAGATTGATGTCTATAACTACGTAAGAAAGTGTGTAAAATAACACTATACCCAGTTTTGGTGATGGTGATGAGTGGTAGCAGAATTACCATTTACCTAAGTACATAAATTATCAACAACAATTTATTAATCACTTATTATTTGCCAAGCATTTTACAAAAGTTGTTTTTAATTTTCACAATCATCCCAAAAGGTATTGTCCCAGGTTCAGATGAAGAAAATAAAGTTCAGAGAGGTTAAGCAACTTGCCAAAGGTCACATAACTAGAGAGAATCAGAGGTAGGATTTAAATATTCTATTTTAATGCCCATCACATTTACCCTCCCTCTTCTCTCCCTCCCTTCTTTCTTTCCATTCCTCCTTCTTTCTTTCCCTATTTCATTACTTTGATTCAAATATTTATTGACCATTTCTTTCCACTACATGAAACTACCTCCCTTGTATAAACTCTGTGATACGTAGTTAAATCCATTGTGACTGTCACACTTATATTAGAGTTTTGGTAATCATGCAAATAATAATAGAGAATCACATAAAGAGTACAGTTTTTCATAGTGTACTTAGAAAAATTTCTTTTCATTTTATAGTTATGATTTATAGTTAGAATTCTCTAAGTGACCTTATAATTGTTAGCCATCATTCCCTTAAACACAGATGGGCAGATCCCTCTCTCTTTTTCCCTTTCTCTCTCTCTCTAACACACACACACACACACACACACACACACACACACACACACACACACACACAAACATGACTTACCTGTACAGCATAAATCAGTTGACCTGAGTAAAGTGTCTGGCAGTCTGCATGGATGGCCTTACCTGCATGTTCCTGTGCTTCTCCCACACGTGCAGCCTCTGCTTACCCATCAGACAACATGTCTGGAAGGGTGTTGGGTATGAGAGAAGTCATGTAAGGTCCCATTCCAGGAGCTTGTTCTCCCTTCTAAGGGCTGAACCTTACTCCTCCAACTACTTCTTCTTTACCTATTTCTTAGACACTTAAAATGATACATAAGATATAACCATCAGCTATTAAACTTTGTCTCACATATTTGTTTACATGTCTGTTATCCTCAACTAGATGGTAAACATCTGAAAGCACATTCTCTATCTTATTGATTTTATATCCTCAACATATAGCACAGTGCCTGGCACATAGCAGTCTGTCAAAAAATGTTTAATGAGTGAAAAAGTGTTGAATAAATATGGTAGCATTTTAACAAGTCACTATAGCTTAGGAGATTGACTCTAAACTTCTGTCTAAAACAGAGTAACGTATTTTCATCATCCTGGCTCAAAATTGTAGACTAGGGGCCCACTCTGTCATTTCACCACTGTTAGGATTCATATTATCCTAGCACTTTCTGAGCTATGAAGCACTTTCACATACATTAATTCTGAGGATTCTCAAAGGAATTCTAAGCGTTAGGATAGGTCATTAGTACTCCCATTTTCTAGATTAGGAAAAGGAGATTCAGAAAGGCTAAATGATTTTCCGAAGGCTCTATAGCTACTGACTGTGAAGTCGGATTGAAAATCAAGTTTTGACCCAAAATCAATGTTCTTTCTCCTCACAGAACAATCTGTCTTAAAAAGCTTGTCAGCAGTATTTAACACCTTCTTGGTGCATATCAGTCTATGTGCACACCACACTCGGGAACACATAGAGCTGTAAAGAGCTAATACTTACACATGGTGCTTTTGAGTCAGACACTGTTTTAACTAACTTAATCTCATATCAACCCCATGCTTTATTATACTCATTTTAAGGATGAGGAAACTGAGACACAGAGATGACATTAGATACTCTAACTCTGTTTAAATGAGAAATCCACTAAGCCATAGGTTTTATTTGTTCTAACCTCCATGCATGTGGGAGAATAGGGATGGGATAATAATCCTCCTGTGGCTCCACAAAGAGCGCACAAGTATTTTTACTTTCAGAAAGTAGACATAGCCATTTAAATATTATTACCAGGACCACACAGTAAGTAAGGCCAATCAGAAGTATGGTCTTTTTTGAGATTACAACTCACAGAACATAGCAACAATCTCTGAAGTTCAAGTATCATATAAGACTCGTTTTTAGGTATAACATTAGCAAGGACAAGTCAATGCTGAAAATATTATCTGCTTTTTTGCAACTGAAAGAGAAAAGAGAACATTTCTCTTTCTTAGCTTGCTGAAATTTATTTAAGTTGTGGCTAGAAAGTGGTTAGTTTTAAGGCTAAGTACTAGAATTTAATTGGTTAACACTGAGAGAAAAAAAAGCAGTCTTGAGAAGCTCAAACATTACAATATGGAAAGGAAAAATGGCAGGATAGAGTTACTATCAATGGAATATGGAGAACGTAATATTCTACATCTACAGCTTACACTAGGCACACAGGGGCAAGCTATATGTTTTTGGGAAAAAACAAAAACAAAAAACGCTAGATAGTAATCAATAGCTAAATAAAAATTCAAAATATACCACAAGATCACGTAAGATTAATTTGCATATAAGTCACACTAATAGTAATGTAGTAAGTTCAGAGAAGAAAGATAGAATCCCCAGGGAGGGAAGCTCAGTTGGTCTTCATAGAGAAGAGACTTATGTAATAGACAGTGGTCTTTCTAATCTGGGGCAGAATGTCCAGGCCTGTCTTCCAGAGTCTTCCTAGATAGTTTACTTATTAATGGTTTACTATGTACCAGATACTGTACTAGGGCTTGATATTTCAAAGAAGAAATATCCTGTCCTAAAAATATTCACAGCCTACAAGTGGTATATCCATATATCATATATCTATATCATGTATATATATCTATATGGCATAGCAAGGAAAGAGAGAAGGCAGTGACACAGAACAGAGCATGTCATAAGTTCTAAACCAATGTTAGCTATTATTAGTAGTAAACACACTGCCTTAAGAATGTGTCAATTTTGTTTTAAAAAAAGTTTCAGGTAGCTATTTATAAGGAATGCTTCTTTTAGATAGTTGGAGCTGTTCCTTCTTTCGAACAGGGGTTGAATTTGATCAGCATTTCCCAAAATGTGTTCACAGAACAATGATACAGTAGGATTTTAATAGGTTGCTGCTCAAAGAAAGGGTACCCTGGTACCAGGTTTCTTCACTGAAGAACTCAAAAACATCTCTTTACCAGTGAGCATTGGAAATCTCCAAGAAGCAGAGAAGGTATATAATTTTTCCCCAAACACATCTGACCATCAAACCATTACACCAAGGAACATCTCCAAGGACACCAATAGTGGGAAACCCTTGAACAGATATTTTTATAGTTCCCATCCTTGACTTTTCCTACAAGGTGGTCATTCTTGCCTATAAGGAAAGGGGACCTGGTCTTTTGCTGTCTTTTAAGATTGGGGCGCCACCTACTGTTCATGTATTGTTCAAGCACATTGCATTGCAACCTTTCAGTGGAAAGCACCAAAGCTCCGTTGTAAGAATTTATCCCCTGCCAGCCCCCCAGCTCCAGAACTAAAGTAGTTAAAATGCTGAAAGAGAAAGAAATCATCACCTTAGGCTAAATTCCATGCATGTATTATTTGTGATCTTTCATCTCTAATTTATCCTTTATGTATTTTACTTCTCAGAGATTTGTTGTAGAGTCTTATCCAATAACTGAATCATCTTCTTGAGGTATTTGTGGAGAGGAATTTAGGACATTTGGCATGCAATCGCATTAACTAGTGCACTGACCTCCTCAGGCATTCTTCCTGAAGAGGGAAAAATAGAAATGCTTCTGTTATTATTTGTTTCAATGCTCTGTTATGTAAAAATGTAGAGCAGAGGACATAGAAGCAGTACCCCTAGAAAGAGATTCTTTCTGGTCTCTCTAAGCAATTTTAGTTTGCTCATTTCCCAGGAATCTAAAAAACGTCACCCCAGTTGACCTTATTAACTCCATCACTCACTTTGATGGACTTCTTAACTAACTGTGTTCCAAGACACATGATTGGGAAAGTGTATTGCCAGAGGTGAAATGCTGCAGCTGTTGAGGTGAAGGTACAATAAATAGTTGTACATTTTTTTAAATTTAAATTGCATTGTGGATTTAGAAAGAGTAAAAATGAGTCACAGCTCACCTCAGACTCAGGTTGCTTTTCCATCTTCATGTTTAGAGCCGTGTCGTGAGGGAGGACCTTATTTGCCAAGCCCTCATCCTCAGGTTATTCAGAGAGGGTACTGACAAGTTTATCCTTGTACTGTTAGACGTCAAATAACAACTCTAAATTCATATGGTATTATGGCTGAAATCTAACCCCTTAAATTCCCAACCCCCCAAAAAAGGTTCTAAATTATTTCTTGGAGTCCCTAAAGTGGTCCTCATAAAAACTTACAAACTTTGTTTCTTCTAGTTACCATGCTATATCTTCCCTGTCCTCCCTCTCCATCCCTGGCCCCCAACCCCATGAGGAGTCATGGTGCTTGAGGATTCGCACTTAGGGTCTCCTTTCCGTGCTCCAGAAACAAGCACTCCCCAAGCTACCAGAGTGTTTCCAAGGCCTGTGCAGAGGAGAGCAGAAAGGCCATCTCCCCAGCTCTGTGCCACTTTGTCACTTTGTCCCCAAAGCACAACTGCTTAAATCAGAAGTCTTACAGAGTCTCTCACCTATGCAACATCTTCAGCTTCTCTCCTGTGA